TGTGGTGATGACTTTTTAGATGCAACCCCAAAGACATGATCCATCAAAGAAATAACTGATAAGCTGGACTTCATTAAAATCAAAAGCTTCTTCTCTGTAGAAGACATTGTCAAGAGAATGACAAGACAAGCCACAGACTGGAAGAAAAGATTTGCAAAAGACACATCCAATTAAGGACTATTATCCAAATATACAAAGAACTCTTAAAATTCAACAATAAGAAAACAAATGCAGTTTAAAAATGGGCCAAAGACCTGACCAGACACCTCACCAAAGAAGATACACAGATGGTAAATGAGCATATAAAAAGACGCTCCACATCATATGTCATCAGGAAAATGCCAATTAAACCAATAAGATACCACTACACACCTATCCGAAGGGCGAAAATCCAGAACATTGACAACACCAAATGCTGATAAGGATATGGAGCAACAGGAAATCTCTCATCTATTGGGGTGGAATGAAAGAATACACAGACACTTTGGAAGATAGTTTGATGGTTTCTTATAATACTAAACATACGCTTATCATACGATCCAGCAATCATGCTCCAAAGGAGTTGAAACTTAGGTTTACACAAAAACCTGCACACAATGCTTATAGCAGCCTTATTCATAATAGCCAAACTTTGGAAGCAACCAAGATGTCTTCAGTAGGTAGATGTACAAATAAGTGTGATACATCCAGACAATGGACTATTATTCAATGCTTTTTAAAAAAGATTTTATTTATTTATTTGGCACACAGAGAGATAGCGAGAGAGGGAACACAAGCAGGAGGAGTGGGAGAGGGAGAAGCAGGCTTCCCGCGGAGCAAGGAGCCCGATGTGGGGCTCGATCCCAGGACCCCGGGATCATGACCTGAGCCGAAGGCAGACGCTTAACGACTGAGCCACCCAGGCGCCCCTAGGCAATGCTTTAAAAATGCATTTTCAAGCCACAAAAAGACATAGAAGAAACTTAAGCGCATATTTCTAACAGAAAGAAGTCAATCTGAAATAGCCATGTACTGTATGATTCCAACCACATGACATTCTGGAAAGGGCAAAACTACGGAGACAATTAAAAGATCAGCAGTTGCAGGGATGGGATGTAGATGAACAGGCAGGGTACAGAGGATTTTTAGGGCAGTGAAAATAGCCAGTATAATACCGTAATGATGGTACGATAATGATGCCATTATAAACGTTCGTCCAAACCCACAGAATATAAAACACCAGGAGTGAATCCTAAAGTCACCTGCGGAATCCGGGTGATAATGATGTGTCAATGTAGGTTCATCAGTTGTACCAGATGTACCACTCTGGTGAGTGGCATTGATAACGCGAAGGCTATCTGTGGTGGGGCAAAGGGAATATGGAAACCTCTATGTCTTCTCAATTCTGTTTGAAACCCTAATACTGCTCTAAACAAACAAACAAACAAACAAATGAAGTCTTTAAAAAAAAAATGTATTAGAGTGGGTGCCCTGTGCCGGAAGGAAAAAGAGAGTGGGGAATGAGGGACAATGGGAGAGAAGTCAAAATACAAAACACAGTGTGATCAACACGCCAGACTGTACCAAGGCGGAAGAGGAGCAACAAAGTGGGCTTCGCCAAGAAGCTGCACCTAATTGTGGCAGATGGGCAGCGCTGTTGGTAAGATCCAAAGGGATGAGCACTCCAGGCAGGGAGGACAGCTAGGGCAAAGGCTCAGAGAGGTACAGAGCTGGTGGCTCGGAGGAACTCCAACTCCAAGTGTTTCAAGGGGACAGATGCCCAAGGTGCCCTGGTCAGGAAGGCAGGGGCCACTGGCTGTTCTCTCAACCTGTAAGACTCTCTTCCTCTTACCTGACGGACTCCTACTCAGCCCTCCCACACCTCTGGGCTGCCAGAGAGGCCATGCGGCTGGGGAAGGAGTGTGACTAACCTGAGCTCCCCTCCTGCCCACGGTGCGACCTCAGGCAAATCACTCCCTGCTCTTAGGACCTCGGGTTCTTCATCTGTAACTGGGAATAATAACAACGCCTACCGTGGAAGGTTGTGATAGAGAGGAAATGAGATGAGCAAAATACAGTGTCCTTGCCCCATGACGCGTATATTCTAGTGGAGGAAGACAACTAATTATGTAGCATGTTCACTGCTGTATTCCCCAGACCCAGAACTGTGCCTGGCACATAGTAGGTGCTCAGTTAATATTTGCAGATGAATGAAGAAAAGCAGTAGCAAATGCTACGGAAAGAAGGAAAGCAGGGTGAGACGGAAAGGGAGAGCCGTGGGGGTGCTGGTGGGGATGAATGCGTAGGGGCAGTGGAGGGGGAAGGCCTCCCTGAGGAGGTGGGATTTAAGGGAAGATCAGAAGGAAATGACGGGGATATCTAGGCAGGTGCATACCAGGCAGAGGTGGGTTCCCCAGGCAGCGTGGCTGAAGCAGAGAGACAGAGGACAGGGGGTGGGAGAAGCTGAGCCCCTCACGTGGGTGGACTGAGAACGTGGCAAGAGCCCCATCCTCACTCCCAGGGATGGGACCGAGAACAGAGTCAAAGCTGCTCAGCCCTTGCAGGCCACGGGTCACTCCTCCACCTGCGGCCAGCCCCTAAGAAATTCAGCACAAACTCCTCTTACATGTTGAGTGCTCAGTAGGTGCCAGGCCCTGGCTTTACCGGCATGCACTCTTGGAACCATCACCAGCCCTGGGAAGGAGTGCTATCATTATCCCCAGTTTTCAGAGCCAGAAATGGAGACTCCACGGGGCAGCTACTCTGGGGCTGGACCCCGGCTCTGGGATGCAGGCGCAAGGCTCTGGGATGCAGGCCCACGGCTGGCTCCTACCACATTGTCCTGGAGTTCTTTGTTTACAGCTTGCCTTCCCCTTGGGAGGCAGAAGGCCCGACTCAGTCTCATTCATGGTTTTATTTTACTCCCAGGCTCCTGTGTGTCAAAGCCTGCCTGAGGAGAGAGCAAATGAATGAGCCTACCACGTAAGCCCTCCCCGGCTTCCGGGCCCAGTTCATGCCCTGCTTGGCTTCTCAACCCGGAGCTGCAATGGGGAGGGGGCCGGACAGAGGAATTTCAAGCTGCCTGAGGACGGAGAGCAGAAGAGAGGGGGAGAAGGGGGGAGAAAGCGAAAGTGAAGGGAGCCAGGAGCCCCTGTGAGGAGGCGTAGACAGGGAAGGAAATCTCCCGGTAATAACTCATCAGCTCAGGAAGCAGCAGTCCGGCCTGGGGCTGCGTGTGGGACTAGCCCTGTGGGGAGGGGCCCGCGCAGGCCCCTTCTCCTCTCCCCCAAAGCCCAGCCTGGCTGGGGTCATGGTCAAATGAGGAGGGGTGGAGGAGCCAGGTGTGGGAACAGAACTTCCCATAGACCCTGGGGCCTGAAGACATCAGGGGCTGCTCTCCCGGCAGCCAAGGGAGACCCTCCAGCTCCCCTCCCCCATTCTGGCCTGGGTGGGGGAAGCCAGGAAAGGAGTGTGGCAGAACTGGGAGGCATCTTCAAGAAAACTGAGGCCCAGAAAGGAAAACAAGCCAAAAACACATCTAGAAACCCTTCACCTTCACTCCCTGTGCCCTCTCTACCACATAGATGCGTTCAGATTGAAGAGAAATTTATTTTCAAAGCCTAGGGATACAGGTTGGGCCAGACCCCAGGATGGATCTGGGAAGAGGGCACAGTGTGGGAACCCCAGCTGCCTTCAACAGCTCAGCAATTCTTCCCAGGGCCCCTGAGAAGGAGAACATGTCAGACTCAACAATCTAAGGTTTCCCGAAGGAAGGAAGGAAGGAAGGAAGGAAGAAGGAAGGAAGGAAGGAGAGGTAGGAAGGAAGGCAAGCAATGGGGAAAGACAGTCACACCTCTCTCCCTCTCTCTGTGGTGGCATTCCGAGGAGGGAGGCGGGGCATGGATTTGGAGCCAGGGTGGAATTGTGGAGAGTACAGGAAAGCAATTTGTGTTTTATTGGTGGTGGAGGTTAGTGGGACAGAGTGATAGTGAAGTCAAACAGGCTGGGGCTAATGCCTCCACTCACCCCTTGTAAGACTGAAGGCTAGAGCTCTCTCATCTGTAAATCGGGGATAGTCCCCCACAACTTCAGCAGGGAGCAGTAAAGATCAGTAAAGTACCCAGCACGGTGGCTGGCACACAGTAGGACCTCAACCAAAATGTCAATTCCATGAGGGCAAAGGGTCTGTCACCTTCCTGTTCTCAGACCTAAAACCATTCCTGACATAACAGGGACCCAAGAAATATTTGTTACATGAATAGATGAATGATTGAAGTACTGGTTTGTGTGTGTTGTTTTTGTTTGCCTTTTTTTTTTTTTAAGTTTGCTGTGAGGATGTGACACTGTGGAATCCTTATTTGGAAAGATTAGTGTTTCTCTAAGTGTTCTCCATGGACACCAACCTAATGCAGATTCCTGGGCCCCGTTCCAGACCTGCTGAATCAGAACGGGAGGAACCCGGGAATCTGTCATGCCAACAGCCCCCTTCCCTAATTCTTACACACAAGAAAGCTGCAGAACCACAGTATCAGAACGTGGCGGCGGGAAAACCCCGAGCTGGTTTCTCTGCAATCCTCTTTCCGAACGAGGAAACTGAAGCCATGAGAGTCTCCCTGCTGGTCTAGACCGAAGATAAAGAGTCCAGATCTGGGGACACACACACACACACACACACGCACACACACACACACGCACGCACACGCCCCCAGCCACCCAGACCCCCCAGACACTTGCCCCGCTCGCCAGCGCGCACTGGAGCCCTCAGGGCGGGCCCCCTAGCTCCCGGGCTGCTTTCAACCTGGGGAACGGGGGCGGCGGGCGCTTCGCCATTGGCCGGGGCGCGAGGGGCGCCTCCCCATTGGCCAGAGCGGCGGCCTCCGCCCCCACCGGGGCGGCCTCGTGATTGGCCCCTCCCCGGCTATAAGGCTGCGGCCTGCGGGGCCGTGGGAGCGCGCGGGAGCGCACGGCGGGGCGCGGCAGACGCTGGGACGCGGCGCACCGAGGGACGCTGCCGGGCGCCCATGGCGTTCGCGCTGCTGCGCCCCGTCGGCGCGCACGTGCTGTACCCGGACGTGCGGCTGCTGAGCGAGGATGAGGAGAACCGCAGCGAGAGCGACGCGTCCGACCAGTCGTTCGGCTGCTGTGAGGGCCTGGAGGCGGCGCGGCGCGGCCCGGGCCCCGGGGGCGGGCGGCGGGCGGGCGGCGGCGGCGGCGGCGGCGCGGGCCCCGTGGTGGTGGTGCGACAGCGGCAGGCGGCCAACGCGCGGGAGCGGGACCGCACGCAGAGCGTAAACACGGCCTTCACGGCGCTGCGCACGCTCATCCCCACCGAGCCGGTGGACCGCAAGCTGTCCAAGATCGAGACGCTACGCCTGGCGTCCAGCTACATCGCGCACCTGGCCAACGTGCTGCTGCTGGGCGACGCGGCCGACGACGGGCAGCCGTGCTTCCGTGCTGCCGGCAGTGCCAAGAGCGCGGTCCCCGCCGCCCCCGACGGCGGCCGCCAGCCGCGCTCCATCTGCACCTTCTGCCTCAGCAACCAGCGCAAAGGGGTGAGTGCGCGGAGCCCCAGGACTGTAGCCGCGGGTCAGGGGTTGGCGGGGGACGGGGCCTCCTAGGGAAGCAGAAGAAGAGCAGAGACCCCAGTGAAGAGAGGGGAAAGCGACAGGAAGTTCGTCGGTGGCTGCGGCGCTCCAAGCCCAGGATTTGTGTGGAACAGAACCACTCACCCAAAGTCCCCTAAACAGAAGTGGTACGGGAAAGCCCAGAGAACGGAGATTGCTCATTGAAGGACACCCCTTTAAGTGAAGGTGTGCTGGGGAAAGAGCGTGAGAAAATAGTTAGGCCATCATTTTATTAAGTTCATCCCATGCGCGAGGTGCGTTCCTCCTCCTCTTTTACCCTCACAAGAACCCCCAGGCAGGTAGTTATTCTGCCCGTTTTATCACTGATGAGGATCTGAGGCTCTGGGGGTTGTGATCGCATGCCCACATTTGCTCACCTGGGAAGCCACAACGCAGGTTCTGTTGCTTGCTGGTCCGCGTTGCCATGAACTACCCCTACCAGTAAAATAATTGTCCGCCATCCAAAGACTTGGCAGGAGATTGAGAAGAAAAGGAGACACCTATCCCCAACTAAAAGTCTGAGGTAGCCAGCTAATGAGCAGTAGGAGTGAGGAAGGGGGTCTCCCCAAAAGGGATAGAGTGTGGGGGCGAGGTCACTGTTGAGTCAGCTGGATGGAGCTGGAGCTGAGCTCCTGTGGTGTTCCAGATAAGGATGAGAACCAGCCCGGTATGGGGCAGATGGGGTTGAGTAGCTGCCGAGGTTGAAAGGGACGCCTAGGTGGCTCAGTCGTTAAGCGTCTGCCTTCGGCTCAGGTCATGATCCCAGGGTCCTGGGATCGAGCCCCCACATCGGGCTCCCTGCTCCGCGGGAAGTCTGCTTCTCTCCCACTGGCCCTGCTTGTGTTCCCTCTCTTGCTGTCTCTCTTTCTCTGTCAAATAAATAAATCTTTAAAATAAAAAAAAAAAAGGAAAGGGGGCTCTCCTGGTTGGAAGCGGGTTCTTCTCCCGCTTAGGCCCCAAGGAGTCGGCTTCATCCCCCACATTTCTCTCTCTTGTCCTGGCCTTCTCTTACAGTAGGGAAGCTGGTCTGCGTGACACCTTTGGATTCCAGCAGCTAGCATTTACATCTGGAGATACTGAGACCGGGGGAGTCCCTGACTGGCCCACAGTCTTTTGGAAAGTGAAAGGACATGGGGGATTGGAGTCAGGTCTCTAAGTCCCCATTCTTTGGTTCTTACAGCTGCTCTGGGTCCCCTGCTTTACTCTGTCCTGGGGAAGCATCTGCGTCCTGGCCCCAGACCATCGTCTTCTGACTCATCAGACTCCCAGCCTGGCCTCTCACCCCCATGGCTGCTTCAGATTCCCTGAGTCAGTCGTCTTAGGCTCTGTCTGACTTGTACCCTGCTGCTCCCAGCTGTAGGCCCCGGCCCATGTTCCAGGCCACGTGGGGAAGCCAGGTGGGCCTTCATGCATCCAACCTGGGTTGTAAAGGGCTGGCGGGGCCCTCAGTGATAACCCTCTGACTGCCCTTCACCTGTTCCTTCAGTTCAGCCAACCTTATTTACCCAATAGTTGCCTTGTGTTGGCTCTGAGAACATTTCCAGAGAAGCAGGTTGTGGGGCCCCACCCACCACAGTCAGGAACTCCCAGGGCCAGGGTAAGGGGATGGGGATGAAGACAGGGATGCCACAGTCTCATGGTGGGGAGGCAGAGCACCAAGGGACTGTGGGAGCCCAGAGGAAGCCCCCAGCCAGGGGCTGAATTCCTGACACATGCTTAGCAACAGAGGCAGGCAGATGAGTGGATAGGGAAAGGTGTTTTAGGAACGGGTACCCCAAGAGTTGGCATCAGGAAAATGATATAGAGAAGGAAAGGGGAAGACATTGAAGGTGGCAGAGCACAGAGGGGAGGCAGTCTTGATGGGCACTGATTTCCTGTGCTAAGCACTCTTCACACATTCTGGTTAAAACCCCTCAGGGGCAATGAGGGAAAGAGGTGCTCTGGTGACCCCCACCTGCTTAGAGATGCTGTCGCTGGTTCAGAGATGCTGCCCGTGATGAAGTGAGGGTTTGAACTCAGGCCTGCCCGATTGGGAAGTGGGAAAGGTTATTGGCGGGGGGAGAGAGGGTGGGGAACTGGGGAGCTATACGTGCAGGCGTGGGGGAGAAGGTGTGTCTGCCATGTGCCCACAGCGACAGCAGGGCAGGGTGGGGGGCCTTCTCTGCCGGTTTCAGCCCGTTCCATGGCTCACAGGGACTCACTCGCCTGCATCTGGCTGTTTCCCCACAATCCATCTACAGGACCAAGAACCTAGCCAAATTTGGCTGCAGAAGCCATGCTCACCCCCACAGGCTCCTCTGGGAGTAGGCGAGAGGGGCGATCCTGGCCAGCTCTGGCCCCTTGAAGACTCAACTGAGAGAAAACTGACTCTCTCACGGAGCCACGGCGGGGGCTTCCTTCTGAGCTTTGGGGGCCAGAGAGCTCCAAGGCCCAGACTCTGTTGCTTTACTCTGAGCCACCCCCCCCCCACATGGCTGGTCTGAGGACGGGGTCACTAGGGACCACCATGCTCTCTGTAGTATCTTTCTGTCTAAGGAGGGGTTAAGTGTGGTCCTCTGTGGCAGAAATAGCAAGTGGGAGATAGAAGGGGGGTTGTCTCTACCATTTCCCCCTTTGTCACCTGGGGGTGGAGTTGGGTAGGATCATCTTGTAAGGCCCCCTCCCCAGTTGGTGTACACAGCTCAAGAGCGGACATGGCACAGAGGATTGGGGGGGAGCAAGGAGGCCCCATTACTGGATGATGCTGATAATAATCTTGTGAACATCTATTGAACACTTACTACGTGCCTGACACTGTGCTACAGGCTTTACCTAGGTGAGCACGGATAATCCTCACAGTAACTCCACTTTACTGTGTGGGGAGACGGGCTCAGTGGGGTGAAGTCACCTGCCCGAGGTCCGACGGGTAGTCCGTGGCAAAGCAGCGATCGAAGCCCAGATCTGTTTCACTCAAGCCCGACTAATCCTAATCACGGTCCTTCCCAGAGCCCTGGGCGCTGAGTTCCTAGGGGACGGAGAAGCTGGGGCCTAGTCAGGGCCCCGTCTAAGTGCTTTTGGCAGTCTGCAAACCTCTTTCACAGCTGCATTTGCAATAGCCTGCACCCTGGGGTGGCAGTAGACTCATTTTGTCCCCATTTCATAGATGAGGACACTGAAGCTCAGAGAGATGAACAGTCCTAGCATTAGTCTGAGACCGGGGTCTCCCAATGACTGCAGACTTGGCGGAGAGGTGGCTCCCCCTGCCCCTGAGGTCATCCAGTGAAAGAGTGGGAGGCGGATTTTATTATCCCCCAACATTACACCCCCTCCCCCGCACGCCTGTCCCCCCTTCCCAGCCATTCCTGCCAGATTTGTCTGAGAAGCCTAAGCCCCAGGCTCTGCTGGGACTGTGGCCTCAGCCCTCAAAATAGCCCTGCCTGTGAATGAACACGTTGTCCCTGGGCCCGGAGAGCCTCGAGGGAGGTTGGGCTCACATCTGGATGGATCTGCCCCAACCTGGGCCCAGGGCGGAGGGGGCAGGGGGCAGAGCTCCCAGATGCTTGGCTCTTTCTCTAGATGGCTGAGAAAGACGCCTGTCCTATCATCTCCTAGCCGGGCTCGGTGGGGCGAGCGTTGACAGTGGGATTTCAGACACCAGTAGGGTCCTGGAAGCAGGACAGACTGTTGGACAACACAGATTTCTTTTTTTTTTTTAATATTTTATTTATTTGAGAGAGAGAGAGAATGAGAGATAGAAAGCACGAGAGGGAAGAGGGTCAGAGGGAGAAGCAGACTCCCTGCTGAGCAGGGAGCCCGATGTGGGACTCGATCCCAGGACTCCAGGATCATGACCTGAGCCGAAGGCAGTCGCTTAACCAACTGAGCCACCCAGGTGCCCGACAACACAGATTTCTAGCCCAGCTTTTTTACCAACAACATTCCACGGTTGGAGGCCTCAACAGAGGGGTGCTCTAATGTCTGTGACCTCGCTGGGTTACAGTGAGGACAATACCCCCACGTCAGACCTCAGACCACCGGGTAGGGATGGGCCCTGCGGGCTGAGGGATGGGTGGCTTCAGGGGTGCCACCGTGAGCTCATCTTCCAGTGGGCACCACAGATTGAAGCCGCAGTAGTCCACACCTGCTCATGTCGGGCTCAGGGCTGCAACTTGGGGCTACGGAGTGGACAACTTTCGCCTACCCCTCTCTCAGCCCCCAGCCTGATGGGGGAACAAAAAGAGACTCTGTCTTCCCCTCCTAAGTTTTCTCCTGGTGATATGTACCCGGAAGTGCTGGGTAATGGCAGGAATAGAGAAACCTTCCCGGGGAGACGGGACCAGAGTGCATATTCCTGGCAGAGAGGACACCCTGAATGAAGGCAGGGAGGCCAGAAAGCCAGAGTCTGCTTTTGAAGGTTGGTGGGTAAGCCACTGGGCATACCGTCAGGCCGTGGGGAGGACCACTGTGGGCTTCGTTTGTTTTGCCCTTTAATATAAAATACCATGATTTAAAATGTAGTGGATTTTTTTTTTAAAAAGCAACAAATTATGTGAAATGAAATTACAAGAAATGAAAAGGGTAAAAAAGTACATAGCATTAAAAAAAAGAAAAAAAGAGCCTCCCTCCCACCCGTCATGCCTCCTCCTCGTGATATCCCTCTCCTCCGGGGAAGCCCGTTAGCAACTTCCCACGTGCCCTTCTCTCTAGACATCTCAGCACACAGGAACGTTCACTCAGTTCTTGCTTTTGTCCTTCAATGCAGCTATCTCTCCATCATTCTCTGTCAGTCCTGGAGAGTCTCTTTGGCCTTCTGAGGTGGAGAACCATATTGTGTGGCTGTGATTTATTTATCAAGTCCCCTATTGCTGGACACAGAGGTTAGTTCCAGTGTGCATGGGGACCTGATCGAACTTTCTTTCTTCCCTCTTGCAGGGTGGCCGTCGTGACCTGGGGGGCAGCTGCTTGAAGGTGAGGGGGGTGGCCCCCCTCCGAGTGCCGCGGAGATGAGCCTAGACCCCTTGGCATTTGTTCCAAGCAGGACCCTGGAGAAGGAGGCCAGAGGCCAGCCACTGGTTAAATAGGGGAGAAGACCCCAGGAGCCCAACCCACACCTCTTTCATGTTGGGAACAGGGGACAATGGTCTGGGCCCATGACCCTGTGGGCAGGCTCCCTGGGACATCTCCACCGCACCCCCAGAGAGCTATGAGGACCCAGCCAGCCAGCCCCAGACCTGGCCAGTCAGAGACAAGGCTGAACTTTTGGAAAAACAAAGACTGTTGGTGACAGAGGATGTGTGCGTATCTGTGAATGAGTGTGGGTGTGTGTGTGTGTATGTGAGAGAGAGAGAGAATTGGTGGGTTTAAAATAAAAAAGTATTTTTAAATAAAAGATGTTCCCAGCTAAAGACCGGGGAGGGGGGCGGTAACTAGGGACATCAGAGGTCAGAGGTGGCCCCTCTCCTAGACTGTGCAGAGGCCCAGATGTCACAGGTGCTGCCCTCTACCCTGGAGGAGGTAGGGCTAGGGGGAGGGCAGGAGGACCCATCTCCAGAAGTCAAGATAACCAGACTTCACAACAGTCTTCTTGAACAGCCCTTAGCTGTCTGATGTGGTTGGTCAAGAAATCTTAATTTTATTTATTTTTGAATAAGGAATATATTTATCCACATGGTTCAAACTTCAAGAGGTACAAGAGGAAATATGGTAAAGCTTCCATTCCTCGTGCCCTCCAGCCGCCAGCTCTCCCTGCAGGCAGCCTCAGTCACCAGATTTTGTGATCTGTCCCATTCCCAGATTTTGTCCCATTCCCTATGAATAACCAAGCAAGGACAGAAACATAGGTATATGCTAACTTTCTCCCACTCTTTACACAAACAGTAGCGCATTGTCCATGCTTCCTGCCCCTTGCAGTCTCTCCCTGACCTAAGTCAATTGTCATCCCAAGTCGGCACACAAAGGTAAAGAGTGGCCTTGTCCCTTTAGTGGCTGTGTGTTCCACTTGATGAATGTTCTCTACCGTAACCCGTCCCTTCTCCGTGTTTTCACAGACAGGGCTGTGTAGGCATGCAGTTCCCAAACGTGCAAGCGAATGCACTAACGGGATGTTCTTACCCCTGTTTTAGCTGAGATGATTTGGAGGAGCAGTGACCCCCCCCAAAGGCATGTGGCAGGATGATGAGGTGAGGTCTGTCCACCCCCAAAGCCTTCCCTTACCCCGGAGATGCCCCACTGGGGTGCCAGCCTCCCAAGGCCCCAGTTCTTCTCCAGCAGGCCTGCAAGGTGAGGGCTGGTGTCTCCCCATCTCACAGATTCAGCCACATTGGTGACGGGGACAGCTGGGCAGTGCAGCCAAGTGCCCTTGGCTCTCCAGCTGGGACAGTCCCTGTGAGGCCAGCATCAGAGGCTCAGGAGGCTGGGGGGAAGGAAGGCAGGGCAGACAGTGGGGCCAGGTGAGACGACAGAGCCCTTGCCTCTGGGTATACTCATGCCTCTTTGAAAAATGAATTTAACAAACACTTTTAATTAGTGTTTACTGACGGACGCCTGGCCAGAGTCCACGCTTGTATCCACTCTGCTCTGCATTTGACCTTTTGACTGAGCCTGAAGTGGGGCTGCCCGTTTTGCAGATCAACAGATTACTGAGCACACTCTCCATGCCAGGCGCTGCGCCAGACACCACAGTGGGGAGCCAGACCCACCCCCGTCTGCCTCACAGACAAAACCCGAGGCCCCAGGAGAGTAAGGGGGTCAGCCCAGGTTGGAGTGGCCGCGAAACCACCACATTTAACCTCTTTGGTATGAGAAGTGCAGGAAGGAGGGCCCTGAGGGGCTGAGGTCCAGCCTGGGAGAGCTTTCCCTGCACCCTCCACGCCTGTCCCCGGTGTTTCAGGGACACGGGGCTTGCCTATCCTGCCCCCGTGTAGTCGTGCGTCCCCCGGGGGGAGCTAATTAGGAAAGCACATTGTACTCCCTGTGTCTCCCTAGGGCCAGGCAGCCCCTGGCAAAGCCATAGGAAAGGACTGTGACTTGTCAATGGCAGGAAACCCGGGAGTGGGGACAGAGCAGGCCCTTGGGTGCTCGTGGCTGGAGGCCCACTTCTGCCACCAGCTTTGCTGGGTGACCCCAGAGAAATCGCTCAGCCTCCACCCCGGGCCTCCCTGGGCCCGTCTCTAACCAGCAAGAATAGCTGGGACAGAATGAGAATTATCTGTGTGCCTTGTTAAATAGTTTCTAATAGACCATTTCTGCTCGGGGTAAGTAATCTCTTCCCCAAAGGCAGCGGCTGCTAGCACTTTCCTGTGTGTCCTTCCAAAAGTGCTCTGTCCTGATTTCTAGTTCTGAAAAAGCATCTATCGGTTTCTCTGCTTCTGTTTTCATTGTAAAACATTTAAACGCTGCAAGACCCTAGAAATAGCACCCATCCCAAAGACAGCCACAGTCGACACTGTAATCCTACAGAGTTTTTGTAAAACGGACACTGAAACAAGCATTTACAGCATACTAAGTTACAGCTTTTCCCCGAAGTATAACTCACGCACAGGACAGCGCACCTGCACAGTGCACAGCTCAATGAGTTCTCACAAGCCGCACACACTCGTGTACCCGGCGTGCAGACCAGGAAGTGCCGTGAGCACGGCCGGGAGTCCCTCTTGCACTCCTCCTCATGCCAGGTTCTTCCTCTCCTAGTTCCTGTGAAATGGATACACTTACAGAGTCCCTAGCTCAGGAGATACAAAAGAGAATAAAGCAACAGTACGTCTCCTTCCTTCCCAGCCGCTCAGTTGCAGATCTCCGAGACAATTACAGTTCATCAGGGTCTTAGGAATTCCTGCAGGAACCGGCTTTGCATATATAGGCAAGCCACATAAGGCATTGTTTTTCCACGCAAGCAGCAGCCTTGCACACACACTGTTCTGCACACACAAAAAAGCCCTCCGTGTACGGAGCCACTTCGGACTTGTTCACAGCTGCTTAGTACTCCATCTCGTGCACTTTGCTGCTTACAGGCTTCCCTGAGCTTCACTCCCGGGTAGCACACAGTTACCATCTGAGCGTTGATGAGCTGCCCGGCCAGCCCAACACATGAGACTTGGGAGAGGCATAGCCACAGACCGGTCCCTCTGGGGGGCATTTGCCCAACATCCCTGCCCCCAACACCTATGCTTCCCACCTTCAGGATGGGCCAGCCTAGCCAGGGTCCCCAAGGCTCCCTAAGCGAGGGCCACCTTGGAGCCAGAGGAGTAACAGGAGCTCAGGGAGGAGAAACCCAGGGCTGAGGGGGTGACCAACTTCAGCCAGACCACCTGGGACCCTGAAGGGGAGGCTTAAATTTCAGGTTGCGCTCTCTACCCAAAACTTCTTAGACACTAGGAGCATCGGCGCAAAAATGATCTCCGAGGCCGCCACTTCACAATGAGGGAACTGAGCCAATCCAGAGGAAGCAGCCTCCCTCAGGTCTCCCAGGGAGTCCCTGGCCTTCCTGGGTCCCTAGGAACCCAGGTATCCCCCCGTGCCACACAGGGCTCTCTTCCCTAATTTTGCAATTGCAGGTGGAAGACTTCAAGACGTTGCCCATGGCAATGAGGGACACCAAATCCCAGAGAAGAACAGCAGTGGGCCACGGTTGCGCAGTTTTGGGATCTGAGCAGGACTGAGAATGTAGCACCCCTTCCTCCAGGCAGGGCTCCTCCACTGCATAAGCTCCCCTCGTTGGTCTAACCGCTTCTATTTTATGAGGCTCCTGTTAGATTAAGAAACACCACAAAACAGAATTCCAAAAATGTGTGGTATATTTAGCAGGTTAACTCTTAAGCACCCACACACGGTCACAAATAAAATGCATTATCGTGAGAACATTAAATAGAGGGTTTACAGGGGCGCCTGGGTGGCTCAGTCAGTGAAGCATCTGCCTACGGCTCAGGTCATGATCTGGGGCCCTAGGATCAAATCCCACATCGGGCTCCCTGCTCAGTGGGGAGTCTGCTTCCCCTCTGCCCCTCCCCCTGCTCATGTCCTCTCTTTCTCGCTCTCTCAAATAAATAAAATCTTTTTAAAAAAATATAAATAAATAGAGGATTTACAAAACTATCAGTTTGGGCGCCTGGATGGCTTAGTGTTAAGCGTCCGCCTTCGGCTCAGGTCATGATCCCAGGGTTCTGGGATCGAGTCCCACGTCGGGCTCCCTGCTCCGCGGGAAGCCTGCTTCTCCCTCTCCTGCTCCCCCTGCTTGTGTTCCCTCTCTCGCTGTGTCTCTCTCTGTCAAATAAATAAAATCTTAAAAAAAAAAACTATCAATTTATGGGACATACATGTAAAGTTGAATGTCTGCATCTCCTGCTGTGGATAGGATATCCAAAGTTGAGACCTGGACAACAAAATGCAGGACATGACCCCGAACTGAAGCCCGTACTGTGGAGGGATATGCTAGAGAAGACAGGTGACAAAATCGGAATAAGAACAATAGATTGGATAAAAGTACTGTAGCAATGTTCCATTTTCCGAATTTGCTAACAGTATGGTTATGTAAGAGGATATCCTTGTGCTTAAGAAATACACCCCGAAGTATCACTGAGGGATAGAGGAACATGACGTAGAGACCACACTCTGGGATGGTTCAGGAAAAACGTGTGTGAGCAAGGGAAAGATCCTGCCAATGTGGCAAACAGCTCAAACTTGGTGAGTCCAGGTAAAGGGTATATTGGAGTTCTCTGCACCACTATTCACTTCCCTGGATGTTTGGAAATGATTGCAGAATGAAAAGTTAGAACAAAGTCGACACTTCAGCCCGCGAGGATATGAGGTCTGCCAGATGGTCTCCTGGCCCCCTCTGACTCGCCCTCACTTCAGCTTCTCCAACTGAGGATAGAGAATACCCCTGGTGGACCCAGGTGTCCCTGCCCGTGACTCCCAGGCCCCCATGCCCTTTGGGAGGCTAGGGTGGTCCCAGTGCCCGAGCCTCCTGCCACCATGATTTATGTCCCTGTGAGCCTCAGCAGCTGTAAGCACGG